AAATAAATAAATAAAATCTTTAAAAAAAAAAAAAAAAGAGCCTTAATACCTTAATCACTGTTTCCCTATTTACATGTTTTGTTTTTTTAGTACTTTAGATGGTTGGCCTTCATTCCACCCCGCAAATTAGATGTTTCTAATTGTTTTTGTAGTCAATACTTGTTGAGGTTTAGATTTACACACATATTTATTAATATCTTTGCTCATGATTTCTTCTTGCATCATAGATAATACATCTGGAATCATTTCCTTTGATCTTAATATAGCCTCTAAAAGTTTCTTTAAGTGAGTGTCTATTGGTGGTAAATTCTCTAAATTTTTGTTTAAAAATGACATTTTTCAGAAAAAATGTCTCTTTTACTCTCATGCCTAAAAATAGTTTCCCTGAAAAAAAAATTAGTTTTGCTGGGTCTAAAATTCTGGGTTGGTGTTTTTTTTTCCTAAAGACATTGAAATTATGATTTCACTTTCTTCTGACTTCTGTGTTGCTGTTAAGAAGCCAATTATCAGTCTAATTGTCATTCTTTCGTGGGGAAACTTTTTCCTTGCCCCCTCTGCCTGCTTCCTTCACTCTCTCCCATGCTGCCCTCCTTTATAAAACTCCCCACCGTGAGTAGGCTCTAGGCTTTATCTACTCCTGCCTTTAGTCTCTGTGGCATCAAAGTGGGCATAAAGATCTACTGGTTTTGTCAGAAACTCTGCCTTGGTGTGTGCTTATGCTTAGAATCCCTGGTCTCACCTGGGAATGATCTTTCCTTTTGTATCAGCTTAACAATGGATCTGTACTTCTTTTCTTAAATTTTAATTTAAAATTTTTTAATTTCTTAAAAAAATTGTTTTTTGAGAGTGTTTCAGGGCCTCTAATCTACTATACTACCATAACCGGAAGTTGAAAAACCATTTCATACTCATTATTTTCTGTATCTATTTGTTAGAGTCAAGTCAAAAATAATGAAAAATTGTTGTTCAGTCCTCAGAAGTTAGAAAAGCTATTTGGACCTAAGAAAAAAAAAGAAGCTATTTGGACCTAAGTTGAAGCAAAAGACAATTCACTCAATGATAAGAAAACCTTTCTGGGGGTACCTGAGTGGCTCAGTCTGTTGGGCATCTGCCTTTGCCTCAAGTCATGGTCCCAGGGACCTGGGATCAAGCCCCACGTCAGACTCCCTGAGGGAGTCTGCTTCTCCCTCTGCCTCTGCCCCTCACCCCCCACTCATGCTGTCTCTCTCTGAAATAAATAAAGTCTTAAAAAAAAAAGAAAACCATTCTTGATTTGAAAGCTTCTAGAATTGGCCAACTAGAGAAGTTACAGATCTTTATGGAATTTTTGAAAAATAGAATAAATTTACTTTATTATATTTCACCTACTCTCTACTACTACTAATGCATTCTATCATATAATCTTTATTTTTTATTTTTACTTTTTTAAAAGATTTTATTTATTTATTTGACAGAGAGAGACACAGCGAAAGAGGGAACACAGCAGAGGGAGTGGGAGAGGGAGAAGCAGGCCTCCCGCGGAGCAGGGAGCCCAATGTGGGGCTTGATCGCAGGACCCTGGGATCATGACCCGAGCTGAAGGCAGACGCCCAATGACTGAGCCACTCAGGCACCCCTAATCTTTTTTTAAAGATTTATTTATTTATTTTAGAGAGAGAGTACATGCATGGGGGAGCAGCAGAGGGAGAAGGAGAGAATCTCAAGCGGACTCCCCACTGAGTGTGGAGCCTGATGTGGGGCTCAATCTCATGACCCTGAGACCATGACCTGAGCTGAGATCAAGAATCTGATGCTCAACTGACTGAGCCACCCAGGCGCCCCTCTATCATGTAATCTTTAACATCTTGTGAGTGCATGCTCCAGGAATCGATACCAAAGGATCACTTGCTCTTGATGCTCTATTTCCTTCAACTAAGTTTTGAGTCAACTCACAAAAATGCATGCAGAGTAAAAGAATACAATTAACCACTGAGTGAATCTGGGCAACAGATAGGAAAATAATAAAGCTTTGGGTAAGAATGACACAAAGAATACGTAACATTTTCTTCCCAATGTCAGTGGCCTGTATTTGGTTTTAAGCTTCTTAACACATAAGAGTAGCGTGGGTGGTAACATGACTAAGCGGGTTTGAGCTCTGTGTGTTCAAGCTGGCCAGACACACCACCCTCAGTGTGTCAAGAAACTGATCGCTGCCCGGATGACAGAGTTTGGCAGTCATGAAGTCGTCTGGAGAATATCTCCTAGATTTTAATTATATGAAATGAAACTCTCCTGAGCTATTGACAACCATGCTACTGAAGACTGGGTTTAGGGCTGGACCCCTGGGTGGGCCTGGGGAGCGAGCGAGGGGGGGCTTCACTGAGCTCCAGATTTCAATCAGCTACCAGGTTTCACCTCACTCAGTAGTTTTTCCCACTTTACCGAAACAGGTACCACTGTAAGCCCTTCATAATCCTGTGGCTGCTGGTATCAGAAGGTCTGAGATGGGTCTTATCCCGCAGAAGCTATTAGAGAAATCCTGTGTTGTCTTAGTCTCAGCTGCTCAGGGTCCAAATCCATAGGGCCAAATGATAAGGAAGCCAGCTAAAGTTATGGCACTTGTGGAGAATCCTTTCACTCTGTATATCTGAGTCTTGTCAGCAGTTCCTGAGCATGAACAGGGGTGTGTGTGTGTGTGTGTGTTTTCTCAGCATGAACAGGGGTGTGTGTGTGTGTGTGTGTTTTCTCACTGCTCTGTATTCTGCCCAGTGAAATGATAAAAACAAACGTAAAGTTCATGGTTAGAGATTTCTTAACTTTTGGGGTTAGGCATCTTTGACAAAACAAACTGGGATAACCTTTTGTGTTAGCTTCTAACTTAATGACTAATAAAAAAAGATCAACTTAGGTAAATATTCTGGCTCACAAGTGCGCAGTGGGGTTTAAACATTCTTTTTCTTTGCTTCAAGGATTTTGACTCTTTCTTCTCTGCAAAAGAAGAGAATATTATTTATTCGTTTCTGGGTTTAGCTCCCCCTCCAGACTCAAAGGTAAGCTTGAACACCCCATTGGGGCTCCATACAAGTCATAATAAATGAAGCTAGAAATCAGCATCTAAGACTGTTTAATAAATGATGATCTTTAAGTTAACATAGTTTAAATGTATTCCTTATTCTGGTGAAGTCTTACGCATAGAGATAATGCAAAGCTTTTACTAGAGCATGTTGTAAAACTATGCTTTTCATTTTTTTGCTATGTTTACACCTCTTTGTAAACTAAATTGTAGTAAGTCTTACAATACTGAAATTAAGAAACATTTCCTTCAGTAATCTTAAATACACTAAATAACTATATAAAAATTTGAGTTCCCAGGTTGTGTTTATGAAATTATTTTGTAATGAATTGACTTCTCATGTGGCTTATTTTAGTTAATTTTATAATAATATATCACCGATATTAATTCTTTCTATTTAAAATGAGTTGACTTTGCTTTTTTAGAGGGGGGGAGGGTAAGATCCAGACACAAGAACAAGATAAATCTCAACAGTGGTTTTTCTTCTGTTCCATCTTTGATTATGTATAATTATGTCAATTAAATACGGAATTAGGCCAATATCCTGAATTTGTCTAATGGAGATCATCTGGCTCAGTCCATGCACCACCCACTGCATCCTTACTTCTTCCAAGAATCTCACACATGACTCTCCACATACAAGACAAGGACACATTTGTTTAATTCATTTATTCCTTAATAAATTTGTTTGTACTCAGTTTCATTTCAAAAGAGATTTGCGATGACTAAGTCCAAATTAATTCTCATTGTAGGAGAAATAACTCAAAATCCTACCTTGTAGAGATGGGTTTGTCTCAGCGGTATGTGCCTGTGTTCTTTCATATGTCAGCTTCTGCAGGTAACGCCATTTGGGACCTCTCAGTGCTTAGGTTAACACATGAAGGTGTAGCACCAATTCCTTCTCCAAAAGTAACATGCAGATTTCACAACTGGCTAATGAGGTTTTATATGAGGAAGAGAATCTTCCCTTTTAGTGAAACACCTTTCTGGCTTTGGTCAACTTAAATGTAACGCATTTCATACATCCTTTTAACAGTTTAAAAAAGGCTATTACATGCAGTTCATTCTTTTTTATTTGATATAGGAGTTTGGTATGAGAGTTTTATTTGGTGTAGGTGTTTGTTAACTGGGTCATGTTAGTATACTTACTACATTTAAGACATGGTGCCTTGGTGTTAAGGTACATTTCTTGGTAGGAACACTCAGGTCACTTGTGTCTTGAAGATGGGAAGGAAAGGTGGAGGGAAGACTGTTTCAGGCAAAGGGGAGAGCAAGTGCAAAGTCCCTGAGGCAGGAAAGAGCATAGAAAGTTCTAAGAACTGCCATGAGGCCCACATTGCTGGAATGAGGGGTGGAGGTGCCCAGGAGGTGGGAGCTGCAGGTGGGCGTCCCATGGGCCATAGTGGTGCTCTGGATTCTGTCTTACGTGCAGTGGAGACATTGTAAGGGGTTTAAGCAGAGAATTAATCTTATTTCCTTCTTGAAAACTCATTTGGTTACATTATGGGATGAAGGGACTAAAAGGGTGCAAACTATCATAGTAATACAGATGAGATGTCATGGCCGCTTGGACTAAGGTGGTGGGATAGAACTACACAGAAGTGGATGATTTTAGGGCCATTTTGGAGGAAGAATTGGTAAGACTTGCTGATAGATTGAATGTGGGGGTGGGGATGGAATGAATGATTGCTTCTGGTTGTTGGGTGTAGACGTTCACTTTGGTGGAGGACCGTATTTACAGGGGGATGTTAAGTTTGAATGAGACATCTAAGAGAAGTGAGGTGGGCAGTTGCAGATGTGTGTCTTCCTGAGGTCTGGTTGAAGATGCATGTGTGGAGTCTGCTAGCATGTGGATGGAGCTAAAGTAATGAGAGAGGGTTGACAGAAAGGAGGCCAGGCTTGAAGGTGCTCCAAGCTTAAAGCTGGGTAGAGGATAAGCAGAGGCCACCTCTTCAGGTGACATCCCCCTGTAATGAGAGTCTTTGAGGCAGGAGGAGACCAGGAGCGTGTGGCGTTAAGGCCACCGAGGAGGAGCATTTTTCACAGAAGAGGGTTCGATGCTTCTGAGAGATTGAGTCAGGTGAGGACAAACAAGTGACCGTTGGCCTAGACAACACGGAGGTCCTTGGTGGCCATGACAGAAGTAGTTTCTGAGGAGGGGTGAAGACAGAAGCCAGGTGGGAGGTGGGGGCGTCAAAGGAGAACTAACTGGTGGTGAGAAGGAGGGATTACACATGGTCAGTTATCCCTGGGGCATCTCCCACGGACAAGAGAGTATGGCAGCATCTGATTTATTTTATTTTATTTTAGAGAGCTGGGGGGAGAGCAGGAGCAGGGACAGAGGGAGAGGGAGAGAGAATCTTTAGCAGGTTCCATGCCCAGTGCAGAGCCCAAAGCGGGGCTCGATCTCACGACCCTGAGACCATGACCTGAGATCATGACTTGAGATGGTGACCTGAACTGAAATTGAGTTGGATGCTTAACTGACTGAGCCACCCAGGCGCCCCAACATCAGATCATTTTAAAGAGTGCCTGCTCATTCCTGCTGCTGGAACCCTGGGTTGTGGGTCATGGGTCATGGGTCATGGGTCTTGGGTCTTGGGTCATGGTTGAGGCGCTCCACTCTGCTTGTGCCAGGTGTCCTGCTTTCTCGCTCCCACCACCTGCTGGACGGACTCCTGCTACTTCTCGGTCCCCACTTTCAAGACCCCAGACCAGTGGGTGGTGGAAGGAGAGTCTAGATTTTACAACTGAAGACCCAGTAGGGATTTTGTAAACAACAAAGATCTTTTCTTTTCTTCTTTCTTTTCTTTCCTTCCCTTTCCCACTCTCCCCTTCCTTCCTTCCTTCCTTCCTTCCTGCCTTCCTCCCTCCCTCCCTTCTTCCCTCCCTTCCTCCCTCCTTCCCCTCCACCCTTCCTCCCTTCCTCCCTCCTTCTCTTTCTTTTTCTTTCCTTTCCTCCCTCCCTCCCTCTTTCTTTCTTTCTTTCTTTCTTTTCTTTCTTTCCTTCCTTCTTTCCTTCCTTCCCTCCCCTTCCCCTTCCTCTTTCTTTCTTTCTTTCTTTCTTTCTTTTCTTCTTTCTTTCTTTTTTTTTCTTTTCTTTCTTTTCTTTCTCTCTTTCTCTCTCTCTCTTTCTCTCTTTCTCTCTTTCTTTCTTTCTCTCTTTCTTCTTTTCTTTCAACTTTTCTATCCCAGGTCAATAGTAGTCTGGCAAAGCTTAGGAAGGAGAGTTTTCCTTTAATCTTTTATAGGTCAAATTCTTAGACAGAGCCCCCCTCTGCCCCGGAGTCACAGTGAACCAGAGAGGCAGGGGGTAGGAGAGCAGCTCACCCTCTCCCTACTCACAGCAGGTCCTGGGTATCACATTCTCTTCATTTCTTTGCTTGTAATGTTGTGCTGTTGTTCATAATGATCACTTCAAACTTTGTCTAGTGCTCTGTTAAATGGATGTATCACAATTGGCTTACTTTATTCCTTTATTTATTTTTATTTTTTCTTATTCCCTTATTTTTAATCTTTACTTATTGTATCATACACTTGTTTCTGCTGTGACAGCCTCATAACGGTCATTTCACTAGTTCATGTAATATTCTATGAAGCTGGTGTGCCATAATTTTCTTTACTGTGCTTATGTTTTTGAACATTTGTTGCTCACAATTTATTTTTATTTTTATTTATTTGTTTTTAAAGATTATATTTATTTATTTGACAGAGAGAGACACAGCCAGAGAGGGAACACAAGCAGGGGGAGTGGGAGAGGGAGAAG